TACTGGGTATATATCCTGAAGAAGTGAGAGCCAGGACAAGAACAGATATATGCACACCCATGTTCATCGCAGCATGATTTACAAGAGCAAAAAGGTGGAATCAACCTAGATGCCCATCAACAGAAGAATAGAAGCAAACTATGGTACATACACACAGTGGAATACTATGCAATACTGAAGAATAATATCTGCAAAACACCACAGAACATGAATGAACTTGGAGGACATTATGCTGAGTAAAATAAGTCAATCACAGAAGGACAAATACTGTATTAGTTCATTATTATAAAAAAGTCAAGGAAAGGTTTATGTATGGAAGGAAACTGTCTTTGTTCATTACCAGGGGTGGAAAAGGAGGGGAGGGAACACTGCAAAAAAATTTTTAAGTAATAATTAGGGAAAGAAAACCTACCAAAAAAAGAGTCCTGTCCTAGACAGCTTTACTGGCAAGTTCATTCAAAGAACAGTTTATACCAGTTCTACTCAGAGTTTTCCCAACATAGAAAAGGATGGAACATTACTGAACTCATTTTATGAAGCAGCCGTAAGCAGGCATAAGCAGGCAAAGACATACTGAAAAGGAAAATTACAGACCAAATCACTCATGAGCATCAAAGCAAAATTCTTAACAAAATTCTAGCCAATAGATTCTAACAACATATCAAAAAACTAATACATCATGATTCGTATCATATCAGGTATGCAAGGGTGGTTCAATATTATAAAAATAATCAACATAATCCACCACCTAAATAAAGAAAAAGAAACATATGATCATATCAATCGATGCAGAAAAGGCATTTGACAAAATGTAACACCCATTCTTGATTTTTTAAAAAAAAGTGGAAATATAATCATGAGCATACACAAAGCCAATGGCCAGAATTATTCGCAACTGAGAGAGACTGAAAACATTCTCACTGTGAACAGAACCAAATAAAAATGCTCTTTTCACCACTCCTGTTCAGTAGTGCATTGGAAGTCCTAACCAGAGCAATAAGGTAAGAAAGGGAAATAAAAGGCATCCAGATTGGCAAAGAAAAAGTAAAACTATCTCTATTTGCAGATTACATGATCCTATACATAGAAAAATCCTATAGGCTCAATAAGAAAACCGCTGGAACTAATAGAAGGTTCAACACAATGGCAGAGGACAAGATGAAATGTAAAAATCAGTAGGAGTCCTCCACACTAACAAAGAGAACTCTGAAAAGGAAAAAAGTAAAATAATACCATTTTTAATAGCTATCCAAAAGATGATGTACTTAGTATAAATCTAACCAGAGACACAAAAGACCTAGACAAAGAATACTACAAAACACTACTACAAGAAACCGAAAGAGAGCTACATAAATGGAAGAATATACCATGCTGATGGGTAGGTAAACTTAACTTTATAAAAATGACAGTACTACCCAAAGTAATCTATAGATATAATGTAATCCTGATCCAGATTCCATCATCATTTTTTAAAGAGATGGAAAAGCTAATGATGAACTTCATATAGAAAGAACAGAAACCCCAGATAAGCAAAACACTACTGAAGAAGAACAAAGCATATAAATTGACACTCCATGTTCTCAAAACCTACTATACAGATGTAGTAATGAAAACTGGTATTGGTACAGTTACAGGTGCAAAACCAGTGGAGCAGAATTGAGAATCTAGAAGTAAATCTGTCCACCTATGGCCAGCTGATCTACTCTCTTTAACAAATGGCACTGGCAAAACTGGACATCCATTTGCAGAAAAATGAAAATGATCCATATATTACACTGCCAAAGAGGCAAGGAGGCCGCATCTTCTGACCTCCTTTAACCCCACAAGAGGAAGACAGAATCACCATCAGTAGCTCAAGGCCTATTCCTGTGAGGCCAGACATGCTGCCTCCGTCCAGCCCTTTCACCAATCATTCCTCCTGCAGCACCCACCACCTCTCTGCTGGGTTTAATAATTCTGCAGTGGCCACCCAGCACTCACAGATTATGGGGTTTATTAGGGAAGCAACAGACTACAGTTCAAGTTCAGAAATGCACTCAGTCTCTCACAGCCACCTGTCTCACTTAGCAGCCAGCACTCTCTCTCTCAGCAGCACATGTCTCTCACGTCCCTCTAAGCAAGTGTGTGTCTCTCAGGAGCATGTTTCTCTCAGCAGCATGTCTTTCTCAGCCAGCAGTCAGAGAGACAGACCCCTTCTGCCTCTAAGAGGGCTCTTTTTGAGCCTGGCAGAATGGCCAAACTAACCAATCCCAACATCAGAATTCTATATACCTGAGAGACAGAACTTCCCAGAAGACTGCTTCATGCCACTCTCAATGGAAATACTCCAGGTGGATAACTTGAACAATCAGGAGCTACTCAGTTGCTCATGGCAAATTCCATCACAGAGTTTACAAAGACTTATGACTAGAAAAGTCATACCAGGTAATTTACTACACCACACACACCATATACAAAAAGTAACTTAAAATGGATCAAAGACCTAAATGTAAAACCCCAAACCATAAAGATCATCAAAGAGAAAATAGGGGCAAACTTCAGAGCCCTAACATGTGGCCTAGATGTACTATCAGAGCTAAAAATGTACAAACAGCAGAAGACAAGCTAGATGACTGAGACCTTCTAAACATTAAACATTTATGTGCATTGAAAGACTTTGTCCAAAGAGTGAAAAGAGAACCTACAGACTGGGGAAAAATTTTGGCAATGATACTTTAGACAAGGAACTAATCTCCCAAATGTATAGAAAACTTGAACACCTCAACAAAAAGAAGACAAGCAGTCCAATTTAAAAATAGGCAGAGGACATGAATAGACACTTCACCAAAGACAACATTCAAGTGAGATGCTCACTATCATTATCCCTTAGAAAGATGCAAATCAAAGCAATGAGATATCATCTCACCCCAGCATTAATTGCAAATTTCAAGAAAACAGAAAACAAATGCTAGCAAGGGTGTGAAGAACAACACTGCTGATGGGATTGTAAAATAGTGCAGCTACTATGGAAAGCAGTATGGCGCTTCCTTAAGAAGATGGAAATAGAAATACCATATAATCCAGCAATCTCATTACTAGGTATATATCCTAGCAAAATAAGAGCCATGACATGAACAGGTATATGCACACCCATGTTCATCACAGCATTATTCACAATAGCGAAAAAATGGAAACAACGTAAGTGTCCATCAGTGGATGAATTATTAAACTATGGTATGTACACACAATTAAATACTATGCAATGTTCAAGAACAATGATGAATCTGCAAAACACCTTGAAACATGGATGAACCTAGAGGATATTGTGTTGAGTGAAATTAGTTATTCACAAAAGAACAATTATTGTATGAGGCCACTACTATAAAAAGTTAAGAAAAGATTTACACACAGAAAGAACTTTTTTTTGAAGGTTACCAGGAGTGTGAGGGGAAGGGAAAGAAAATCACCAACTAGAGGGCAGACTCGTATTAACTTGGGTGAAGGGAAAGGCAATATATCTTAACAGGGAGATCAGCACAAAATGATCAAGGTAGTGGAAGACATAAAGAGGAGCACAAGAATTAAAGGTAACAAAGGTGAATATTATTATATGCACAATCCTTCCATAATAGTAGTAATAATTTACAAGTGGCTACATAGACACTCAATCTGAACAGGGGTGGAAAGTTGAATATAATATATTCACCCATTACTATATATATAGGTTCGACCAAGGCTATCTCTACCTATGTATTTATATGTGTTGCAGATATGCCCATGAATGTAATAGAGTATACAGGGGACAAAGTTGTGAAAACATCTTAGTCATAACCAAACTCCTGGAGGGAAAAAGTCACTGGTTATGGAAGCTCAGGACCATAGTCTCAGGGGACACTAAGGTCAATTGGCATAACATAGTCCACAAAGACAGTGTTCTACATCCTACTTTAAAGAGCAATCACTGGGGTCTTAAAAGCTAGTGAGTGGTCATCTAAGGTGCAACTATTGGGCTCTCCCTATCTGGAGCAAAGAAGAGCGACAAAAATGAAAGATGCAGGAAATAGCCCATAGGATTAATGGAACACCTGAACCCCATCTTTCCTGTCCCTGAGACCAGAACTAGATGGTACCTGGCTACCACTTCTGACTGCTGTGAAGGGGTCACAATAAGAGATCTGAGATAGAGTGGGGGGAAATGTGGAACAAAATCAAAATCATAAAAAAGGGACTAGGCTTACTGGTCTGATGAAGATTGGTAGAACCCCCAAATCTATGGCCCATAGACACCCGTCAAGCTAGGAACTAAACTTACGCCCCATGACTCATCTGCCAGCCAATGTTAGATAGGCCTATAAGGTAAACAGTAACAATGGGAGGGTATGCCCTCTTTAGAACAATCAAGCATATGAGATCAAGAGGACAGCATTTGCCCAGGAATAGAGCTAGGAGTAGAGCTAGGAAGAACGAAGGGAAGGGGTGGGCATGGGAAGGCAGTGGGAAGAATGCTGTTACAGTGTGGGGATTGCGGTAAATGTCACAAAACAGAATGTATATGGATTGTTGAATGGAAAACTTTCACCCAAGTCACAATTAAAAAAAAAAAAAATGTTTTCAGGAAGCTAGTAGTATGAACAATAAATACTATCAACCTAGAGAGAAACAACCTTAGACATGTTGGAGGACTTTGAGGTTGGACGGGCTTCCTATGTGTTGAAAGAAAGAGAAAGGACCTTCTAAGAGAGGAAATCTTGTAATTTAAGGCATTGATGTGGGTAGAGGTATATTCTGTGGAAGTTTTCCAGTGAGGAAAATGTACAGAAAAGAAATAGACCTGACTTTGAGGAGCATCAAAACAATAAGCTAGAAGATAATCTCATTTTATAAGAAAAGGGAAGTAGTTGTCATTTTTTCAGATTGGGACTGAAAAGGTCTAACATCTGTCAAACTCAAGTTCACTGGTCCTAGTCCTTGTGGTCTGTAAACAACCCAAGTTACTTACTGACCTTCCATTATTGTTCTAGATTTATGACAGATGCTGCCCGCCGAGAGCAGGAGTCCCTGAAAAAGAAGGTTCAGCCGAAGCTCTCACTGACACTGTCCAGCTCAGTGTCTCGAGGGAATGTGTCCACTCCACCACGCCACAGCAGCGGAAGCCTTACTCCCCCCGTGACCCCGCCCATCACCCCTTCCTCTTCATTCCGAAGCAGCACTCCAACAGGTGAGTGGTTTGGCCCCCACAATGAGAAACGAGAGAGAGAGAGAGAGAGAGAGAGAGAGTGTGTGTGTGTGTGTGTGCGCTCACACACACACATACATGTGCACATGTGTACCCATATGCTTGTGTGTACCTGTGTCAGGGGCAGAAGGAGCAGAGACAGATGACAGACCCACCACTTCTTTGACCCTTTACTGGTCTCTGTAGAGTATGTTGACTCATTCACCTATTAATACAGGAAAGAATTACAGATTATTGTTAACATGTATTTGATAATGACTGTATATAGATAGTTTTTAAAGCCCTTACCGTTTGTTATGTATGGATGAAGTGACCCAGTATCTTCAGTCAGGCATGCATGGATCAGTGCCAGTAAAAGTACTACGTAGGACAAGAAATATCCAGAGGGGTTTGGCCCAGTCAGAAAGGATTCCCCTGAAGAATAAATAAGAGCCAGATAGGTAAAAACGGCAGGAAAAAGCCTTTCCAACGGGGAACAGAATTTGCAAAGGCCAGGTGGCCAGAGTGAGAGGGTGATCAGCGTGTAAGATGAAGCTAAGGAGATAGGCACGAGTTAGGCTGAGCAGGGCCTCGTGGGTCATATTAAGGATTTTAGTCCATCCTGTCAGCAAAGAGAAACTACAACTAATCACACCAGCATCTTCTTAAATGTCACCCTTGACTGTGAGTTAAAAAGTTTATTTTCTCTCTCTTTCATCCATAACCCATCAAGGGAGGTGACTGTTGTAGTATTTCTCAAAATGTGTTTTCAAAACATTAATTTCATAAAATAGGAGTTGACGTTAAGGAGAAAATAAACAAACAAACTCACTGCCATCGAGTTGGATCTGACTCATAGCGACCTCTCCTTGGGTTTCTGAGGTTTTCTCTTTCTTGGGTTTCATCTGCTCTATGGAAGTAGATTGCCCAATCTTCCTTCCGAGTTTAGGAGAAAAGGAATTCCCAAATAAATTTGGGGAAATTATGAGTTAAAGAAAGTTAAACTCGTTTCTTTAACACAGGGCTTCTCCAAGCCCTTACTTTGACAATATAAGTTGTTATTCTTCGAGGGGAGGAATTATTGTTTTCTAAACTTAGTTTCTCTGATTGTTGTTGCTGTTGGTAGGTGTGGTTGAGTCAGTGTTGACTCACAGTGACCCTGTGTCCAATAGAACGAAACACTGCCCAGTCCTGTGCCATCCTCACGATCCCTGCTATACTTGAGCCCATTGTCGCAGCCACTGTGTCAGTCCATCTCATTGAGCCTCTTCTTCTTTTTCACTGACCCTCTGCTTTACCAAGCATGATGTCTTCTTCAGGGACTGGCCTTCCTGATAACATGTCCAAAGTACATGAGATGAAGTCTTGCCATCCTCACTTCTAATGAGCATTCTGGCTGTACTTCTTCCAAGACAGGTTGGTTTGTTCTTCAGGCAGCCCATGGTGTATATTCAGCGTTCATCACAGCACCATAATTCAAAGGCCTCAATTCTTTCAGTCTTCCTTATTCGTTGTCCCACTTTTGCATGCATATGAGTGATTGAAAATACCGTGGGTTGGCTTAGGTGCACCTTAGTCCTCAAAGTGACAGCTTGGCTTTTTTAACACTTTAAACAAGTGTTTAAATGCAGCATATTTGCCAAATGCAATACATAGTTTGATTTCCTGACTGCTTCTTGCATGGGTGATGATTCTGGATCCAGGTGAAATGAAATCCTTGACAGCTTCAATCTTTATTCCATTTGTCATGTTAACTGCTTATTAGTCCAATTGTGAGGATTTTTGTTCTCTTTATGTTGAAATGGAAATCATACTGTGGGCTGTAGTCTTTGATCTTCATCAGTAAGGGCTTCAAATCCTCTTCACCCTCATTAAGCAAGGTTGTATCATCTGTATATTACAGGTTATTAATAAATCATCCTCTAGTCCTTATGCCACATTCTTCTTCATATAGTTCAGCTTCTCAGATCATTTGCTCAGCATAGAGGTTGAATAAGTAAGGTGAAAGGATGCAACCCCAATGCACACACACCTTTCCTGTTTTAAAACCACACAGGGGATACCTTTTTCTCAGATACCCTGTGTTGAGTTCAGACCTGTGCATTTTGAAGATAGGATCGGATTGGCAAAGGGCAGAGAGTGGTCACACAGACCAGAGTTCATGCTGAACTTTGATCTTTATAAATAGTTTTACCTTGGACAAGTCATTAATCCCACAATACAGGATTTTGTCTGAGAGTTAAATGTGTAAGCATAAATACTCACCCAGTATTCAGTAAATACTCAGCACTAATGGTTAGAGATTTTCAACTAGGAACTTCAGCACAGAATCTAGGGTCATTCTTCCATAGAGGATGAATTGGTTTGTGTGTGTTTGACATTCATCCATTTCCTTAGATGGACCACCATGGTTCCCTTATGTTTTATTCTGTGAAGATCTTTGTATAACATTTATGGTATAAATCTAAGGAATGAAAGAGGATTCTGTAGTGTAACTTTGCATTCTTCTTTTCTGGGCATTTCTGTTGATAAAGGTCATTAATTATGGGGGCAATGTCTACCTAGGTGAGTTTTATACCTGAAGTTATATAGACTGACTCATGTCCAATACTAGATAACCTGACTGTCCCAATTAGCGATGGGTACCTTAGAACCCCAGTAAAATAGAGACATTTTAAAAGTGAGAGTTTATTAATTTTCATGTAAGAATGTTTGGAAGAAATGGAATCATTTCCTTTCCTTCAGACGTAAAGAAATCTTTCTGACACCTAGACTATTTTAGCAATTTCCCACTGAGAGAATTAATTTATGTTGTGGGAAAGATGTATCATTTTCAGTCTGTCAAGATCATTGCTAAGTTATTTGCTGCTTGAAGAACATTCCATATAAATATCCGAAATTAGCAGGAGAAATGGTTTCTTAACCCCCTTACCCTGTACAATTTTGATTGTATACATTTTTCAATATTTGGAATGTTATTTTACCTGTAGTTAGAAAGCTCAGTTTCTCTTGCCTGACTAATGTGGTTTCAGTCACTTTCATTGCCAGGTTATAAATAATGTTCCATGTTTCTGCCTCTTAAAATCACTCTTCCAAGCTCCATATTCAAGCTGTGTTCCTGGTTCAGGGGAGTTATATAGTAGCAAAACTCATTTATAAAATAGTCTTCAAAATAGACTGTCTTGACTAAACTGAATTAGAGGTCAGTTTTATTTTAGAGTTTGAAGTATTTGTGAACTACAGGTATGTGTCACTTAACGTCCATTTGGGGCAGCCTCCAACCACATATATGTCTATGGTTCCATAAGTTGTTTGTTTTGTTTTTAAGGGAAAGTGCTCTCCTTTATTATTATTTCTCCCTAATGATTTTAAAGACCTCAACCCCAGACTCTTTTTTATTATGATTTGGGTGAAAGTCTACAGAGCAAATTCACTTTCCATACAGCAATTCACATATACTTTGTCTCATGACATTGACTACAATTTACCACAATGTGACAGCTCCCCTCCCACTTCCTCCCCATAGTTACCTCTTCCCTGTGTCCTTCCCTCCATGCACTCCTGTCCCCTGAGCTGTCTCCATATGCATACACAGCCCTTCTATTCTCCCATGATTGTTCTCTCCAAGGAGTATATCTACCTAATGTAAATGTTCAGCTCATATGCCTATCTTTTGTTTGGCTGGAAGCCACAGGAGTAGGTTCGGTTCCAGACCTAAAGGGCAGCTGGGAGCCATAGTCTCAGTGATTCCACCAGGCTCTATCAGACCAACTAACCTGATCCCTTTTTTTTTTTTCCCAAGTGATTTTGAGTTTTGTTCCACATTGTTTTCCCACTCTATCCAGCATCTCTTACATAGATTCCCCTCCTGTGGTTGACAGTGGTAGCCAGGCACCATCTAGTTCTTCTGGTCTCATAGTCATATAGGCTGAGGATGGCATATTGTACCAGTTGCTTGGACTAATTGTTTCCATGAATCTTTGTTTTCTTCATTCTTCTTTGCTCTGGATGAGGAGAGACCCATTGTTGCATCTAGATGGCTGCTTGCAAGCTTTTAAGATCCCAGTTGCTACTTGCCAAAGTAGGATGTGGAACAGTGTTTTATGTAGTGTCTTATGCCAATTGAGCTTGATGTCCCCTGTGACTATAGTACCAAGCCCACAGGTCCAACTACTCACTCCCTCTGGGTCGCTAGCTGTGACCAAGAAGTGAATACAGCCTTGTCCCTTGTCAGCTCTACTGTATACCTGGGAATTCTTACAGAACATACCAATACCTTGTAGAAACATTGTCTGCCAACCCTATACATGGTCGTCAGCACACTCCCCCCACATAGACATACCTCATAGTTCAGCCTGCCCACCCATCTATTCACCTATATATCCATGTTTGCCTTCACTGACAACACAGTACTGATGTACAGAAGGGTTCATCTTTGCTGTCAGTACCTCCCATGTACCTCTCTATGTCTTCCTTTTCTTCAGTGCCACCGTGGCCAAGCCCAGACTCTTGCAGCACAGGTGAGATACAGGCAGAAGAAGCAGAGGACGTGACTTGGTATGGGCTCTTGGGCTTTGTTCAGCAAGCAGATGGGCACAACAGCCGGTAGAGCTGGGCCCACCCTGCTCCCCTCCCACTCACTTCTTGCTCTGCTCTGGCAGCAGCCCTCTTAGCCACCACCTCGGCCACTTCCTGTTCTTCTTGCTTCTCCCAGCAGCTCTGGCAGCAGCAGTTGCAGCAGCAGCAATGAGGACTACCAGAAGTCGGTTCCCATAAGGTCTTAATAATAGTGTTCACACAACATCCAAATCACATAATGTCCCATTTCACAGAAGATACTGTGACTGTTAAGCTGTGCATACCTGTGTTCTTGGAATCAAGATTTGTTTTGCAATTTCTAAATCCTAGGAGAATCTCCTTGTCTTTTTCATTTTGTGTTCTTGTTTTCTTTTAGTATATAAAAACGAAAGCATTCACTTAAGGAGCATTTAGAATGATGTAAA